GGAAATGGTAATTGGTGTCAAAATTAAGAGTCACGTGGACTAAGTTGTACTAATCAAGGAAAGCCAACACAGATTTGTTCAGGGGAAATCATATTTAACTGAGTTACTTGAGTTATTTGATGAGGTAACAAAGAGAACTGATTAGAGAAATGCAGCTCACATATCCTACGCTCTTTCAACATTGCCAGCTTTTAACCATCATACCAACCAATAAAGTCATTGACATCTACATAATATCACTATATCATGAAAATCTTAATGTATTTCTTCTAATTGAGCTGGTGCTTGTGAGCTCAGCATCCCTTGCAGTTGAGTTCAGTTTCAATGACACCAGGTGATAAATAAGTGGTGTTATTATGTGATCCCTTTCGGCCCAGTCATGTCACGGGAAACACATCATGGATGGAAAGACAGCTAACCTCCTACTCTATGCATACTTCCAATATGTATATATCACATTTGCAATATTTCAACCCACAGCCGCATCAAAATTTTTATTACTCAGCTTAAAAAACTTTGTGCAACACTCCAATTTGCCATTGAAATGGAGCAATCAAATGAGCTCCCCTTCCTTGATATACTACTGAGAAGTTGAGAAATGGGTTCTGAACTACTACTTAATAAAAGCCTATGTTCTTTGGTCGGTATACACTTTGGGATTTCTGGAGCCTATACACCACAAGATCGATCTTACTGGTAAACTCATGAATAGACCCCCAATTTTCTGTTCAGTATAAGCTTGACGTTATCAAAACTATCCTGTGTCATAATGGAAGCCCTAATTGAATCATCACTCACCATACGTTGCGAAAACTCACAAAATGGCCTATGTCCAGCATTTCAGTCTTGAATGACTCCAAGTCGACCTTAGTTTACTCTGGAGGGAGAAAGTGGCTCAAAAATCTGAAAAGCAGGTTAAGCTAGCCATCACAAGCTGCTACTATGCAGTAAATCCATGAGGGCTTTTCTCCACTAACAGGATGCTACTGTCAAGCCAAAAAGATATTTTGTCCACAATACAAATGAGTAATCTGCTCTCTGAGTTCCAGTGGCAGCGTGATGTCAATTATAAAGGCCAACTCGCAGACCATATAAAACAACACATCCTGTTGACCACTTGCAGCTAGCAGCAAACCACTCATGCTCGACTAGCCTGTGCTTGCAAGCCTCAGAAAGGTACATCCACTATGGGATGTGATTCTGCTTTTGGAACTTATTTATTAAATGATCCAAACAGATCTAAAAGCTACACCAATTTAAGGTAATAAAATGGGCCCATAGAGCTTATATACACGTGCTAGAAGCTATATGCATAAATACACAGGCCTATGTATATATAGGGAAAATGAATATGTACATATATTAGCCTTTTTCAAAGAAAAGTGCCATGCATTCAGTCTTTCCCTGCTTTATCCCTATGGCTATGCCCTGACCAATCAGAATCCACCTGCCTAGTCTGACAATTAAGATTGACAGTTAACTATTTTTATTGTGTTTCCATGGCTATATTAGTCAACCAATCAGCACCTTCTTCTCATTCTGTATAAAATGGTGTCTTATTTTAAGTTCTGTTTCTTGTGTCCTAGTTCTGATAAGTGCAGGATGAAAAGCTTAAACTTTTAGTCTCCTTTTAGCAACTATTTAAATTCTGAACAATCCAAATCAGTATTAGGACTGTTGCTTTCCTTTGTGTTTTATTTGTGATTTAGAAGTATAATGACTTCAATATTTGCAAATAAACAGAGCTTGGAAGTTTTGTGAACTGTGAAGAGTAATAGACTTCAAGATTATAAATTAACTGCTGGAGAGGGTAAGATGTGGCAGCATATGATTTTAATGCAGAAAACTCTAAAATCTTTTAGAGTTTTTAGAAGAGGTAACCAAGAGGATCAGTAAGGGTGGGGCAGTGGATGTTGTCGATATGGAGTTTAGTAAGGTCTTTGACAAGATCCCTCACAGTAGGCTAGCCATGAAGATTAGGTTGTATGGGATCCTAGGAGAGCTAGTTAATTGGATTCAAAATTGCCTTGATGGTAGGAAGCAGAGGCTGATGGTTGAAGGTTTTTTTCTTGGACTGGAGGCCTGTGACTAGTGTGCCACTAATGGTAGTTATCTTTCCCTCAGGATGGCTTATTTCAAGACTAGGGGGCACATTTTTAAAGTAAGAGGAGAGAGATTTAAAAAACACATGAAGGGATTCACGTGTGGAGTGAATTTCCTGAGGAAATGGTGGATCTGGGCACAATTACAACATTGAAGAGACATTTGTATAAGTACACAAATAGGAAAGATTTAGACGGTATGGGCTAGGAACAGGCAGGTGGGACTAGTTTAGTTCGTGATTATGTTCGGCATGAAGGGTCTGTACCTGTGCTGTATGACTCTATACTCTATGATGATCAAAATGACTTTGGTCTTCCTAATAATGTATTGGAGGAAGTTCCTGTCATGTAGTACTGGATATCAGAAAATCAGCATGGCAGTTCAAAGGCAGGATAGTGATTGATGGAGGGATGGTGAAGTAAAATTGTGTGTAATCAACAGATTATATGGAAAGTGATGTGTTTTCAGATATTACTTAAGAACAGCATAGATATGATAACTAGGAGAGGGTAATGATAAGATTTAAAGGCATGTGGAATGGTCCTGGATGTGAGGGTGACAATTTACAACAACAGTTTTTTTGAGGAAGAGGAATAGAATCATACAGTACTGAAAAGGACCTTTGGCCCATTAAACCTGCATGGACAAAATCTACTCTAATTCTATGGCCATTCCACTTTCCACTATTTGGCTCATAGACTTGAATATAATGAGATTTCAAATGCTCTTTCACATACTTTTTAAAGGCTATGATGTTTCCTGCCTTCACTACCCATTGAGATAGTGCATTCCAGATTCCCATCACCCATTGGGTGAAAAAAGTTATTATTGACTCTTCAATTGTGGGGAAAAGATGCATTCTATCCACCTTGTCTGTGCCCCTCATAATTTTACACTCCAATTAGGTGCCCCCTCAGCTTTCTCTGTTCCAAAGAAAACAATCTGAGCTTATGCAGCTTCTCCTCATAGCTAAAATGCTCCCTCTTGGGCAACTTCCTAGTGAATCTCTACTGAACCCCGTCCAGTGCAAACACATACTTCCAATAGTCTGATGACCAGAACCGTACACTGTACTCTGGCTGTGGCCTAACCAAAATCCATACAGCTCCAACATAACCTCCCTGCTTTTATCATCTATGCCATGACTGATGAAGGAAGTGTCCCATATGCAAGGTCACAACTTTGTTTCCTGAAGTTGGATGATCAGTTTGGTGGGCTCTCAGTTGAGGAGCATTGTTTTTATAAAGGGCGTATGGAGGATGGGATAAGACATTTTGCAGGGGTAGGTTGGAGGGAAGCTTACTGGAGGTCCAGTTTGAGGGTTGAGGGGGAAAAGAATATTTAGCAGGTACAGCTATCCAGATTGTATCAACCTTAATGTCAACAAACATGTTCACTTATAGAAGTTCATATGGAGGGCAAACATGGATTAAGAAGGATTTATAGTGGAGAAGAGAAGCTGGGTTTATCTTTGCATTTCAGTATGGTTCTGGAATAGTGAGCAATTTTAACAAAGGAGAGCAAGATCCAATGAAACTCGCAGTAATTTAGCCAGATCTGGTGACAAATGGCTAACCCAGTTGTTCACAATCAATTGTCAAATCAATGTTCCTTGAACTTATAGGGGTTACAAGGAATTTTGCAGAATTTCTGTCACACAAAATGTGGTGGGAACCTGGAATGCACTGCCTTAGGTTGGTGGAGCCAAGAAATTTCACAATCTTTAAAAGTATGTGAATGAGCACATGAAAAGCCATAACATTCAAGGCTACAGGCCAAATGCTGGAAAGTGCAATTAGTGTGGCTAGGTGATGGGTTTTTTTCTGTTGTGCAGATTCAATAGGCCAAATCTATAAACACAAACTAGTAAAATGAAAGGATAGGACGAGAATAAATTGAATTCACTTTAACTTACAAATGATTAATTTAAAATCATCTTTGATTTTTATTCACTGTTTCTGTTCTTTTTTCATGCTACAAGTAACCTGTCTGCTTTTAATAGTTAAGATGCTGCTCTTGGATTATACATAGAACATAGAATAGTACAACACATTTCAGGCCCTTCGGCCCATGACGTTGTGCCAACCTATTATCCTACCAAGATCAAGTTTCCCTCCCACTCTCTGCCTGGCTACCCTCTTACTCTTTATATACTCTTGTCATCCAAGTTCCTTCACCTTACCATCCCTTACTTGCCTCAATGGGACAAACCTATCTAGTACTCGTAGCAACTGCTCCTTAAACAACCTGCACACTTCTGTCATGCATTTCCCTTAGAATATCTGTTCCCAATTTATGCTCCACAGTAAGAACTGTGACTAAAATGCCTAATAACATTTTAATTCCCCCTCCCCCAATTAAATACTTTCCCATAATGTCTGCTCCTATTCCTCTCCATGACTATAGTAAAGGTTGTGATCGCTATCATTGAAATGCTCTCCCACCGATAGATCTGACACCTCGCCAAGCACCAAATCCAATATTGCCTCCCCTCTAGTCAGCTATCAATATATTGAGCCAGAAATCCTTCCTGAACCACACCTGACAAAATCTGCTCCATTCATTGTAGCTTAATCATGTAGTTGAGCAAATAATTTCATATTTTGATATAATGTAGAAGGCACAATTCTGAAGTTTATCATAGTAATGTTGGCACACGGAACGCATATTTTTATGGTATTTATTCCTAGTCTTCAGAGCTGCTTTGCACATGCTACTTGCAGAGGTATCCAAGCCTGTTACATAACATTTTGGCTATATTGAACATAGTGACCTTGCATTATTGAGTTCTTTGCAAACTCAATAGAAAAAAAAATGGAAAACTCTTGATAAGAATGTAGTTGAAGCTGTGACCTGTGCAATCTGTGTAATGGAGGCACCTCATTCTGTATTAACAGGACCACTTGAAGACACAATTGAGGATGATGAGGAAGAATGTCTGTCTGAAGAAAATGATACAATTAGCAGAGGAGACTACACACTTGATGAAAACTTCTCAGCAGACTATGGCTCAGAACACCTCAGTTGTGAAGAAACAGAAAATTACTGCAGTAAAGGTAACTGGATTGAACACATTTACGATATAAACAAAAAGCAAAGAATTGCTGGATATCTAAAACAAACAGAAATTGTTAGAGAAACTCAGCAGATCTTGCAGCGTTGGTGTAGAAAAAGCAGAGTCAGTGTTTCTGGTCCAATGACCCTTCTTTAGAATTGGGTCTATTGGATCTGAAACATTGACTCCATGAATGCTGCCAGACCTCCTGAGTTTCTCTGGTAATTTTTGTTTTTATTACTATCATATGGATATCCAGTACACTGGGTGCTATTGCATTTTTTTCTAGAATGGTCTGTTATAGGAGCAGTTTTTTTTTTATAATGCCGTAGTCCTTGATTCGATATTGCAGAGAATGTCAGTCTATGATAGTAATTATGTTTTAATTCAATATTATATTATTGCCCTGCTGCATTTCTTCCTCACTGAAGCCTGCCATGAAAACAACTGAGTTTCTTTATTCTGTTCATTTCTATTCAGAATTTTTTCAGCTTTTTGATTCTGGGCAAGAGAATTTATACATTGAATGAATATCAATAATTGTTAGATCATATTTAGTTTTTATCGGGTAATCATTGTCTCGTGATTGTAAAGATTTTAATGATGTGATAATTGTGGATAATAATTGAAACTGAAATATTACGTAACACCAGCTAGTTTATAGTTCAGAACAAACGTAGGCAATAAAAGTATTATAATTATAAAATACAGAAAATCTCAGGCAGTTTCATTTTGATCCATCAATATGGCATGCCCTATTTACAGATCCTGGTTAAGCCATCATTTCGGATGATCTGAGATAACAAGATGTAGAGCTGGATGAACACAGCAGGCCAAGCAGCGTCAGAGGAGCAGGAAAGCTGACGTTTCGGGTCTAGACCTTTCTTCAGAAATGGGGGAGGGGAAGGGGATTTTGAAATAAATAGAGAGAAAGGGGGAGGCGGATAGAAGATGGATAAAAGAGAAGATAGGTGGAGAGGAGACAGACAGGTCGAGGAGGTGGGGTTGGAGCTATTAACGGTGAGTTAGGGAGGGGATCGGTCGGTCCAGGGAGGACGGACAGGTCAAGGAGGCTAGTTTGTTGTATGATATGTCACAATTTGATCCTTTATTGATACAATAGGGGAGAAATTAATTTGCTTCTAGTGTGCTGCGTAGACTATGTTGATTTTCTGGTGGCAATGGGAAGACCTAGTATCGTGAGGAACGAAAATAATAATTAGCTGTAACATGTTCCTACTGTGAAGCAACAAATATAAGAGTTGAGGATCTAAAAGCTATTTCCTGTTTGCCAGAAACATTATATATTTATTCAGGAAAAATTGTTATGGTGGTTCTGAAACTAATTCTGTCAATTGGTAATTGATTTACTATAGACATAAAAGCTTGCCTTTTTAATACATTTCAGTAAGTCTTCAATATTTTAAATATTATGATTTAGAGGGAAGGAGTTTTGGATTTTCTTTTGTTAGAATTATAAACAGTGACCTAAATTAATACTAACTGATAACAATGCTTACGTGCACGTAGGCAAAGCCGATCTACACTGCCCTTTCACCCTGTACGCCTTTTTACAAACTTGTTAATGAAGAACTTATTTTATAAATTACTGCTCCTCAATTATTTGATTGGGAATTAGACATATTATTGAGCGGGGAAATAAGCCAGAGCTGAAATTATTAGGTTGATTTAAAGCACTCTCATGATTTTCCTGGGGGATTGATGTAAATCAATTGTAAGTTAGTAAGAATTTTGCACAATGTATTTTATCTTGTCTGTCTTTCCTCTCCAAAATCCTTGAATATGTTGTTGTCTTGCAAATCCATGTTTATCTTCCCCACAGCTCTTTGAACATGTCCAATCAAGTTTCATTATCTGACGGATGGCCTTTTGCAGATTTTCACTTGGTTAACCACATCATTTCTATCCAGTGCTACTCCCGCATTGTTGAGCTGAGAGGCACTTCTCTCCTAGTTTTACACATATCTATTGAGTTGTAGCTAAAGAATCACCTGTAAGGGCTTCTCTTCCTATTTCTGCACTTTATTTCCATGTCCCACAAGGTTTTGCCCTTGGCCCTTCTTTAACTCCACTCTGTGCTGCACCTTGCCAGTGTCATCAGAAGATACAATGTTAGGTGTAACATGTACTGTTTGAGTTAGTGAGCCCAAACTCACTGCATCTCACAACAATTCCACTGCATCTTAGATGTGATAATGTTAATCTTAGATGAGTCAAACATTCCTCCAGTTAAAATCTGGGAAGGCTGAAGCATTGCCTTTGACCCTGACCCATACTCTATTTCTGTGTAACTAATCTATTCCTCACCTCATCATTATTTCAGGCTGAAGCAGACTTTTCAGAGCCTGAATATCCTACTTGACCCTAAGTTGACTTTGTGATCCTGTATCATCATCATCACAAATTCCGCCTGTATTGGCATTCCTGACTTGTCTTTGCCCTGTCTTGATGCTACCTACTGCTGAAAACCCTACACATTTTGTTGTAACCTCCAGATCTGACAATTCTAGTGCTCCCCTTTTTACTTTTCTACCTTGCACCCTCCAATACTTGAGTTCACCTGAAACTTTGTCTTCTCCTGTGCATCTAGTCCCATTCATCAATCATGTTTAGCTGCTCCAAATTAACCACTGGTCCACAACTGACCCGATTTTAAAGTTATCATCCTCATATTCAAATCCCCTCCTATCCTGAAGCGTCCTCCAGTCCTACCATCCTTGAAAAACTCTATTTCTCCAACTCTGGCTTCTCCTAAATTTCCCACTTTGTACTATCATTTTTGCTTCCAGTTGTCTATGCCATAAGCATTGAATTAACCTTGTCAAACAAATTTGCCTCCCCTTTACTTTTTCTTCCTTTAAGACTCAATTTAGAACTAAGCATTTGACCTGACATTTGGTCACCTAACCTATTGTCTTTCTTTAGCTTAGTATCAATTTTTATTTGACTTGCCTTCCTTTCAGTGCTTTATGGGATGTCTTACAGTGTTAAGGATGTAAGTTGTCTTATTTTGTTCTCAATGCATTCCTACACCTCCTAGTTTATAGTTGCCTACATATAGGAAGATTTTGAAGCCAACCAACAGTCCAAATTCAGGATTGCTTTGGGATATATTTTAATAACAAAAAAGCCATGTTAGATTTTAAGAGAACCAGGAGAAAATGTTCTCTTTAAAGTGCCAAGTATATCTGAGCATGCACTCGCAGGTAATAGTCTGGATATTTAGGAAGAGGTAACAAAGATGTCATAAGACTAAAAAATAAGTAGAAGAGCTCAGTAAGGCTGAGACATCAACCTTCATAACACAAGATGTTTTAGCTCTCCTTGTTATGTGCCTCTCTACCCTGATAGCCACACAACCATTTGAACTATCTGCACTTCCCCAACATTAGCCTGTTGTAAGAGCTCTCCATCTTTGGTAGACGTGCTTTCACTTGTTTGTACTTGAGCCTGTGGAATTTGTTCACTAAGTATCTCCTTTATTAAAACTCTCTTTTAAATCTACTTCACATTCCCTAATATCCAGGATGTTAATGTGTAATTGTCAATATTCCTGTGATGTCTTTGGGATGATTCACATGTCACAGGCACAAAGTTGTTGTTTTAGCTTTGCTTTCCAACTGGCAGTCAGAGGGGGAGATTAGTCCAGGATCAAGAGTGAAAATCAACTCTCAGTCAGAATGGGATGTTCAATGCCTTGTTGAGAGGGCTAGTCTGCCCCCACTGTTAGACTGGGAATCAACCCAAGGTTCAGGCAGAAATTGGAATGGTGGGGAAAGGTGCTAACACTTCAGTAGAATGACAGACTTGAGATTAGGCTTTGAGAGAATACCACAAGCTGGGCTAAGGCAACCACAACTGAGATGATGGGTTAGAGTTAGTCTTTTGAAAACAGGAGGACCACAGCTTCTCCCACCTTACTTTGTGGCTTCTTCCCTCCATCCAATCTCCAGTCTAGCATTCTGCCTATTTGCAGTTACACGTTAGCCTACTTCCAGCTCACAACGTGCTCAATGAGCCACTTGCATTATGCGGCTGGCAGATCTACAGATTCTAAAATTTCCTTTTGGATTCACTCACATTGCTGGTTGGGTTAGCATTCATTGACCATTCTTGAAGAAAGTAGTGGTGAGCTGCCATGCAATCACTATGCCAGTTAATCATCTTGAGTATCGGTGGCAGAAGACTCAGAAATTCATCTTAATCACATGGTAAAAAGGCAATCAGAGGTTAAGATTGGAATTTGTGTTTTGCACTTCGTAACCACACCCCTGTAATGTTCTGGCTAATCTGGAGGCATAACAACGAATGTATGAACACGGAACAAGTGTGGCCTTAAAAATATTTAAAGTTTCTGCATCCACTAGCTTTTCAGGAAAGGAATTCCAAAGATTCACAATTCCCTGAGAGAAAAACAAACAGTTTTCTGTCTTAAATGAGCACCCCCTTATTTTTAAATCATGACCTCTTGTTCTAAGAGCTCCCACTAGAGGAAGCATCCTTCCCGCATCAACCCGGTTGTCTCCTCTTGATTATATTTTCAATTAAGTCACCTTTGATTCTTTTAAACTCCGGAGAATATAGGCCTAGCCTGACTAGCCTTTCCTCATTAGGCAATCTGTTCATTTGTCTAGTAAACCTTCTCTGAATTGATTCTAACGCATTAACATCTTTCGCTAAATATGGCAACCAGAACTGTACACAGTACTCCAGGTGCAGTCTTCACGTTGTCCTGTATAACTGAAACATAACTTTCCTACTCTTGCACTCAATTTCCTTCACAATAAACCATGACATTTTATTAGCATTCCCAGTTACTTGCTGTACTTGCATGTTATACTTCTGCAATTCATGCACTAGAGCACCCAGATCTCTTGGCAACTCAGACCTCCGCATCCTCTTATGATATGCTCCTATCTTTAATATTTTTAACGAGATAAGAATTTCTTACCAATGTTCAATTAGTAATAAAGAATAACT